AGTGCAAAGCCCCCTTCACTCTTTTTTTTTTTTGGCTTTGTGGGGAAAAAAAAAAAAAAAAAAAAATAGAAAACAGCCAAGAAGAGGTATTGAATCCACCGGTCTGCTGCGCGGCCTCACATGAGCATGTGCAGAACTGTCTGTTTGTGTTTCGTCACGCTGCCACAAAGCTTCGACGGTGAGTGCGCGGACATCTTTCCGGCCTGTTACTTGAACGTCAAAGGGTGAAGGGGGGGGGGCGATGCTGCAGGCGGGGTGTGGGAACCGGGACAGGTGACACGGGCATGCAGCGCACAAATCAGAGGAGGTGGGCGGGGTCGCGTAAGAACGCCTGCTCTAAACTGCACCGTTCTGCAAGGTGATCCTACGGCCAGGCGGCGGGGACACACCCCGCTGAACAAACACAGCAACTGGTACAAACCTGAAGGCCGGGGGAACAAATAGTTTTCTCTTCGATTTATAATGGCAGGGTTTTCGACAAGTTTGCAAGCGGACGTTGAGCAACATTCGGAATACGGAAACGTACAGCTTAATAAAACATGTTTTGGGTTAAAAAGGCATATCACCTGCTTATTAATTATTTCAACCTGCAATTAGCCAGTTTCAACAGTAGGGTCTGTGTTGTTAGATAACCGTTCGGTAAGTAGCGTAAGGGAGGAGGACAACTACATTCATGAGATCATTGAACAACAAGACTGGACACGTTTGAGTTCTGTAACCTGCACACGTTAGTGGGGTAAATGGTACGTGTGGATATATTGTGAGCTCACGCACACGCACACACACACAGCATAGTGCTCACATACAGTCCTTACAGTGTTGGACCTGGTTTTATACTCCTAGAAAAAAAAACAAAACAAGAGACAATAGCCGGTGTTAAGAGAACAGGAGTAAAGATAATATTTATCCTCGGGCTGGAAAAATGCATTTGTCATAATCAATGTCAGAATCGTCGCTTACAAAATACAGCAATACCTTGAAATACGGGCGTCCCGACATACACGAGTATTCCAAGCTACGAGCAAATTTATGCTTTGAGATACGAGTAACAGATTTGAGATACGAGCGCACGCTAACAGACGCCGACGCTAGGAGTCCGAGCACTCGGAACA